ATTTCACACAAACTATTCTTCGAGAACCCACTCCTACCCAAGCAACTTTCTCTCTAATCCAAGCATCTTTTACACAAATTTCACCCTTCTTGCACCATTATTCGTTTCCTGTGGTGTTTGTGTTTCAATTTCACCGATCAGAAGTTCAAAATTTTCACTCTCTTCACTGTTCATCATCTTTTCACTGTGCTTCTGCAAATTTTTGTGATTAAGGTAAGATTTAAGATGTTTTTTGTGGTTTCCTTGTTGAAGTATCATGAGACTGGTGTTTGTGGTTGAATTGGCTGCATAGATTGCTTATATAAGTGTTAGAAATTCTGCTGCATGCCAGGTGTTTGATAAAATGCTTCAAAGAGATTTGTTTCAATTTTAGGTGATATTAAGTAGGTAATTGATGATGATTTGCTTAATTATGAAAGGAGGAAAGGATGAATGTTAGAAATTAGGGCCATAGAAATTCGAAAATAAGGTGCATGCCAACTGTTTGGTGAAATGTTCAAGTTTGAATTATAATGTGTTGTGCAACTGAATATATCAATAGTCTCACATTTAGACCTAAGTAACATTATGATATCAAAATATTAGACTAACTATGAGTATGTTGCGAGATGGGTCCAAGAAAATAATCTCAGTGGTGCCTCATCATCCAGGACTGCGGGTAAAAGGCCATGAACTGAGCCTACAGGTATTTAGATTGATAGAAGGAGATTCAGGGATGCTGAGAGGCAAGCAAGGTTTGACAAAATTAGGAACTGGACCTTCATTCCAGAGCGGAGAGTAGAATTGAATGAAGGAGAGTACCCGGAATTCAATAATGAGATAACCCGCAGGAATTGGAGGCAGTTGGCGCTCCTGGTGCCAAAATATGATCCAGAAATTGTGAGGGAGTTTTATGCCAACGCTTGCTTAGTATAAGGTGAGCCATTTAGGGCGCGCTCCAAGGTGAGAGGTAGATGGGTTCCGTACAACAGGAACGCCATTAATGATCTGTTAGGGAATCCACTGTTCTTGGAGGAGGGCCATATTTGTGATTTCCAGGTCATCAGGAATAGCAGGTGTCTTACTGAGATGCATTTTAGAGATGATGATACCGCAAGAGCCCTATGCGTGCCTGGAAGGACATATGAGGCAAACCATGCTAGGAAGGCCTTAAGGATTTTAAGGGCCAACATGACCACAATCACTCAAATCTGGACCTCTTTTCTGTTGGCTAATATTGTTCCCATAAAGCATAGCTTAGACCTGAACATGCCCAGATGCCACATTATTAGTTGTATTCTGGATGGCACTATGATTGACGTCGCCGCCATTATTTTTGAATAAATTTATCAATTTGTGGTGTTGGAAAGCGGGCAACGAGCGGAGCAAGCAAAGGCTCTTGGATTTCCTGCCCTGATAACAACCCTCTGTGCAGCTCATGGTGTGGAAGTCAACCCAACAATGAACATCCGCCCGCCAATTAACAAAAGATTCATCGAGCGGCACTGTGTGAACCCTGCAGAAGGGGAGCCACAGTCATTGACACAACAACCGTCACAGCCAAGAGGAGCCCAACAGCCACCCCCACCACCCCAGCAGCCAGACTTTCAAATAATGATGCAATACATTAATGAAAACTTTTATAACTTATCTTTACAAATTGCTCCAGGTATGCAGTGGACGTCGCCACAGGAGTTTGACGCTTTGGTTCAATGGCCTGGGGACAATCCATATTTTCCAGGAGGGGGTGAAGGTGCAAGTGGTGCACAAGGAGCACAATAGGGAGCATAAGAGGAAGAAGAGTCAGGAGAAGAAGAATCAGGAGAAGAGGAATTAGGAGAAGAGGAATCAGGAGAAGAAGGGTCTGAAGAAGGAAGTGAAGAAGAGGATTGAGAGGGAGGAAACTTTTATTTTTAAGCTTTTATTTATTTTTATTTTAGTGTGTTTAATTGAAGTGAGTAATTTGAGGTTTAAGTGTGTATTTGAATTAATTTGAAGTTGTTTTGTTTGAATATCTTGAATTCATAAGTAATGTGATGAATGATAAAATTTGTGTGATTAGATTGTTGTCCTATATAAATTGTTTAGAGTCATATATGAGATTATTGTTTATTGTCTAATTCAAATCTGGAACTGAAGAAAACCATTTTGATTGTTCCAATAACAAGTGATTTTGGGATGTTGAGTATGATAGTGAAAAGGAATTGATGAGGAGAATTAGGAATTAACTGAATTGGAGAAGCTAGCCAAAACCCAGGTGAGTAGAGTACCAAAAATAGATAAATTGAGTGTCAACACTTTGTAATGATAACTGATATTGGTTGATTCTTTGATGTGATTGCATGTTGGCAAAACTTGAAAATGATAAAGACATTTTTTTCTTTGTAGTAGATATAACCCAAAGCCAAATAGTCAACCCTGCATGAATTATAGGACATCCATTTGAACCCCTTCTGAGCCAAAAATAATATTGTTTCTTAAACAGAGCCCTTAAGCTTAAACATTATTTATCTACCTTCTTATATTTGAGAAAGGAAATAAGTATGAATGTCACTATTTTTCCTATTGTTGGGTATTGTTATTGTTGTCCTACGGGTATTATTGGGATGATATTATTAAAAAAAAAAAAGTTCAAAGGGGGGAATAATAACTTGTGAGATTATTTAACCCACTGTCATTATGTTAAGAACAAAAGCATGAAGTTTGAAACCTTACTTGAGGATTTGTTAATCAAGAATCATTTATATGAGTTGAATTTCTCAAATATTTTTTATATCCCAGAAAAACTAATAATTCTTTCTTAGTCCAGCCCCATTACAAGCCTCAAAAGACCTTTTGATTTAAGTCTTTCTTAACAAATGTTGATTGCTTGAAGATGATTATCAATATTGGATTATCTAAATGAAATGATTGAATGAGATAAACACTTACCTGTGAGAATTAGAGATGAGTATATATAACTCTTTTTGAGAGATCATGCTTCTCTGAGGACAGTTGAAGACTAATTATTCTTTGTTGGTTTCTATAACTTGAATGCTTATGTGTTCTATTTTCATTTGGAGTTGAGAGCATCACCTCTGAAAATTTTTATGTTGTGGTTCTGGAAGAGAAAATGATAATAGGCGATGGTTTTGTTTTTGGAAAAACTACTTTGCTTGGGACAAGCAAGATTCTAGGTTGGGGGGAGTTGTTAAGTGGTAAAAAGTTGATATAATTATACCTTGAATTGTTATGAAACCACTTAACTGATGCTAATTATAATCTATTTTTCTCCCAATATAGGATAAATTCAAGAATACCTTGATACAAGAGTAAGGAGTATAATTGACAGCAGAATTGGAGTAAAACTGGAAGAAAGAAGAAGATTTTCAGCATGGAAGTCGCTCGAGCGAGATGGATTCTCGCTTGAGCGAATGTTAGTTATTCTTATCTGGAGTTCACTCGCTCAAGCGACACAAGATTCGCTTGAGCGAATATCAGTTACTCTTCTCTAGAAGTCAGTCGCTCAAGCGCAGGAAAATTCGCTTGAGCGAATGTTAGTTATTTTTCTCTGAAGTTCATTCGCTCAAGCGAGCGTTTTGTCGCTTGAGAGAAAATAGGCTACTTTCGCTTGAGCGAAAGTTCTCGCTCGAGCGAAAGACGCAAAGCTCAAAAGCCCAAATTTTTCCGATAAAAAGAGAAGATGTGTTTCGAGAAAAGCATACGGTTTTAGAGGAGAAGAGGCGCGACTACTGCTAGGGTTTCGTCCAATCTTCATCAATTCTTCACTTCTTCCACAATTTGAGCATTGTAATGGCCAACATAAGTGGTTAACTTCATTCTCTTAGGATTCGGTGCACTTCCTTTGAACTCTTTTGTATCATGGTGATATTTTGAGATATTAATATATGCCTTGATGTTGTTATTCTTATCCTTTATCCTTTGGAATGATTTATTCTTAATTGTTTGAGGTATGATTGGAAAATATATCTTGAACCCTAGATCACGGTAAGAATATTTGTTACGTTAATTGCCAAGAATGGAATGAATGTATCAATTGCTTAACACCCTAAATCTAATACTGGAAAATCTCTTAATTGTGTGAGGAATCAACATTTATTAGGTTTTCTTATGAATTTCATGTGTGGGGAATCAACATGGATGAATTGAGTATGTGACATCAACATTTTTAGATTAATTGACGTTCTTAATTGACATAATCATTACAACAGAGGGATAAGGAAGGATATCAATCCTAAGTACTTTTAATTGATATTTTCTCAACAATTTATAGTTCTTTGTCATTTAATTTTAATTCAACTCTTATTTGAAAAACCTAATCTGTTTTAATCCACTTAGTAAGCATATAATTGAGAATTTTCATTGAAATTGTTTCTCATGGGATCGACTTTTATTTAATCAAAATATTATACTGCAATTGATAATTTTTGTACGCTTGTCAATAATTCATCAATAAGTGTGAAGGGTGATTGTTTTTTCTTATACTGATTATTAAAATAAATGGATATACATGCTAATATGACAATTTTAGTTTAGTTCTTATAAATTTCTCTTTATTGGTTTTATTCTTCAATGCGCTCACGCACATGTGTGTTGGTATTTTTTATCACACTTTTTATTTTAATGAATTAAAATTTAATATTATAATAATAATAATAATAATTAAACTATTATTATATGTAAAAATAACTCATTAGATAGGAGAATTAGAGGAAAATGTATGACTGGAGAAGCCGAAGAGAGAAATGTTGATTTTTAAGTTTTTTTTTTAATTTGAGAAAAAAAATTTAAGAGGAAGCATGATCGAAAAAGAGAAAAAAAAAAACCGAGGGGTTGAAAAAGTAAACAAAAATATAAAAAATAAATATTTCATTAAATTCAATAACACCAGACTATATTTTTAAACAAAAATATATTTCACTGTTAAACAGTGATAAAAAAAAAAAGACTATATTTTTTTAAAGACTGAAATGGAAGAGACCACAGTAATAAGCACCAAAATATAAATTTCAAACAAAATTCTACATATTTATGGAAAGCCAACTACCAAACATGTTTGAAAATATTAAAAGTTTAGTGACTTTGTACCACTCACCTGCCGTGAAATAATGATCATGGCCGGCTTTGGTGACAGTTGGACGCACAGACCAAACAAATTTGTTTCCACTTAGTTCCAACCCCAAAGCCATCTCTTTGATTTCTTCACACGGCATACTGTATCCACTCCCAAGTGATACATATACCACCGACTCTTCTTCTTGCTTGTTTAGCCACTCAACAATTTCACTTCTGTTTCCCTCATCACTACTCGGGCTTGGGCTTGGGCTTGGGCTTGGGCTTGGTTCCCTCACTATTGGCCCAACTGGGTACACGGGCACCTTGGTAATTTGACCACTACCAAGTGCTTCGAGGGTCTTAGGTTCCAACTCATGAAAGGTGTTCACAATGATCCCATTAGCCAGTGCTGCCCCTTCACATACGCCAACAAATTCACGGTATAACCTATGTGTCCTGTCTTTCAACACGTGGAATATGTCATGGGGGTGTATGGATTTGCAACCAGGGATTGAGATTGGATTGATCTCATTGACATATTCTCCTTGTATTTGTTTATCCAATGTGGGGGTGTGAAGACAAAGTGCAAGGAACCATGCATTGGATGGCACAAAAGCAAACATGGGTATGTTTAGATTTAGAACAAGAGGTAGAATTTGACATAACATGAAATCGGTGATGATGATGGTAGGGTTGAGGTTTATGGTGGAGATTGTGGACACAAAGAGAAGTGGGAGTTCATGCATTAAGATTGCTATTTTGCTATTAATGGAAGCATGGGGATCAACTTTGTTGCTGAGGTCAAGAGGGGGGAGATGGATTAGGTCAAAGAGGTTTTCCTTGATGGCTGATTGGAAAACGAGGGTTTCAGCTTTGGAGGGAGTGGAGTTTTTTATTGAAGTGTAGAAGAAGGTGAGTTTGGGAATGATTTGGTGAGTGACTAAACGCTTGGCAAGTTCCAGGGCAGGGATTATGTGACCCATTCCTGGTGAAGAGAGGAGTAGAGCGTGATGAGTGCTTGAGATGGCCATGAGATTGGGGGGAATGGAGGCTTGGGCAAGGTAGATGTGTATATGCTTACTTTCATAAAATTTTACAACTTGGAAGTCGCAGAATTATTTGTGGGCCAATCCAACAAAACCATTCTTGGTATCGACAGGTAATTCAAGGAGTAATGAATTTTTGAAGGCAATGTAGCAAGAATGATTAGGATTGGATTCTAGTAAAATCTTATACAAGTTTGCTGATAATTAAAGTAATTATTGGAACTTTATTTCCAATCTTTAAAAGTTAAATCTTTAATATTATGAGTCTCTTTTATCATATTCCGAGGTTATTGAAAATGAGAGGATAATTATTATGAATTGGAGCTTTAATGAATTAACTTTTAAAAATTTCTAGAACTACTGACAATAACAGATAATCAAAGAATAAGACTCCTTAACCACGTCTAGAAAGCTTTTAAAAATGAAAAAAATAATTCGCTTTATATAAACAAAAAGCTAAAGATTCAAAAAAAGATAAAAGGCTAACAAGAAAAAATTACATACATTCCCGCACCAAAATGACTAAAGAAACGTGTTGAAGAATTACTTTGTCAAAAATTGAAAATAATTATATTTTATTCATAATTTTGAATTCTGTGAGATAACATATCCCTTCCATTCCCATCTTCAAATTGTTCTTTGAAAATTTCTTATAATAAGCTTCAATTTGGTAAGTGTTGTTTTCGTCGATCTTTTCACTAATATCCGTTTTTATTTTAAATTATGTATTTTTTAATTATCTCCGCTTCCGACCGTCTGGGACCCATTCCTGTCAGAGCTACTTATCGTATTTTGCAAGTTGCAACAGTCATTGTTGTGAGACGGGACAAATTATCAACCAAGTCGAGCCATTGAATGATATAGTTAATGGTTGAATGGTGAGTCATTGATGGATCCAATTCATCCCATGTTTTGAATAGCAAATTTTGTAGAAACTTTCAAAATATCACTTTTAGAATCACAGAATCTAAGTAAATCTAAAGAAGCATCAACTAAAATTAATATTAATGTATAATAATTTCTATTAATATGTCTGGTCGTTCAAACAAATTCATATAAATTAGTTATAACAGTTTATATTTAAAACATATATTTTTTATTTAAAAGTAATTTTAACTTGTTTATCGTTTTACCTGCGTCACGTATTGTGTCTTTTTTAAACTTAATTTTTGGCGAATTACTTCCAAGTTGTTTTGAATTCAATTTGTTTAAATGAGACATATTAGTCTTTTATCTCATAGTCAAAATTCATCTTCTTTATTTATCAAACATATATTAATCTCAAAATATATATAAGTCTCAAAATTAGTGCAATCAAAATCAATCATATAAATGTTCTGTATTTCTTTTCCAATGAAAATAGTTGTATTTGATGCAGAGTCATATATTATGCAGTGATTTATTTTAAAAATTACATTTAAACTCTAATCACATAATTGATTAATGCTTAACATATTATGCTTTAATCCTTCTATCAATAGTACATTTTCAAATATCAAGGAAGAGTTATTACCAATTTTACTAATCTTAAGAATTTTTCATTTGTTGTTATCATCATAGTAGCATATCCATTTGCTTTTAGAATGATGTTTTTGAATTTCTTTAATTAAATCACTTATCATATAAATGGAACATCTACTATTCAAATATCACATTGAGTTTTTGATACCTAAATTTTTCTACAAATCAAATTAAAAAGCTTATTTTAGGTACTAATCAAATTTGGGTCCTCTCATATTAGTTACATGCAGTTTATCTTTAAGTAACCACTTATATATAATTTTTAAAATAATAAGTTTTGATGTATGTTCAATCTCATAATAGTAAAAGCATGTTACAGATAATGATTTGCTTATATTCAGCAAACTTTTGAACGTATCTAATCGATTAGCATTATAATCAATTCCTTCTCATTTTAAAGTGCATCTTTAGGAATTCAATATAGCATCTAAGTTTGTTTTTCCTATTGTAAATTTTGAAAACGTTGTGATAACATACTTTATTCTTTCTAAATGTTTCTTACAGTTAACACATTCATGCACAAAATTCTTACTATTCTTTTCTAAGGTTTCTAACTTTGTTTTCGAATTTTCATTTTCATTCTCAAGTTATTTTAATCTATTCTTCAACCATCTATTTTCACTCTTAAATTTGTTATTAGAATATGCTAATTTTTTTTGCTTCATCATACATTCCATTAAAAGCATCCAACAATTGATAATAGTTATTTTTATCATTAGATGCAAAGGTACTTACACTAAATTTGCTTGTTGTTTCTGTATCTGCTATCAAACAAAGATTTGCTTCTTTTTCTTTTGTGTTTCCACTTGACTCACTAGAAGTATTTGAAGCATTGTCTTCCAAGCAATGTATGCATTTTTCTTTTTATAATTCTTGATTTCCTTTTTGTCTTATAATTTCTACTTCATCTTGAATATTGCACAATCTGGCTTGATGTGTCCAGGCTTCTCGCATTCATAACATGTAGGAATATTCCTCTGTTCCTGTTTCTTGAATAGTTTGACAGTAGATTTGTTAGCAGATTTGTTTTTATATTTCAAAAATTTAAAAAACTTCTTTACCAACATATTCAAGTTTTCACTATCAGAATCCTCATCTTCATTTTCCTGCATAAAATCATTCTTCTTTGTAGCAGTCTTTAATGCAATCGTGTGTCTTCTCTCACTTTCTTCTTCTTTTTTGAGTCTTTCAAGTTCTAACTCATGTTCCCTTAACTTCCTAAACAATGTAGTCATATTCATTGTTGTAAGATCTCTTGATTCTGAAATAGCAGTCACTTTAGGTTGTCAATTTCTTCCTAAACTCTTTAGAAATATTGGGACTCGATTCTTCTTTATCAAATATCTTTTCAAGAGTCATCAAATGATTTACAATATGAGTAAATCTTTTGTGAACATCATATATGTTTTCTCCCGTCTTCATTCTAAACATTTCATACTCTTGAATAAGAGTATTCTTTCTTGCTCTCTTTACCTCTTCAGTTACTTCGTGAGTGACTTCAAGAACACTCCACATTTCTTTAGTTGTTTCACAAAAAAAGATTCTATAGAATTTATCAAGTGTTAGTGCAGAAGAAATAATATTCCTAGCTCTAATATCATAGTGAGCTCTTTTATTTTCATCAGGAGTCTATTCAATAAAATCTTTTATTATTATCATACCATCTTTAATCTTGGTTGATTGAAAAGGATCATTAACAACAACATCTCTGTTAGAATCGCACAGCGGAATGTTCGCGTGGTCGGACAAAAACCAAGAGGGGGGGTGAATTGGTTTCTTAATAAAAATTAGGTTTTCAAAATTTTCTCCAAATTTTACCGATTAAAAACTGTGTAAATGTAAATAGAGAAGAGAAGAGAATCTTACACAAGAGATTTATACTGGTTCGGATCAAAAGACCCTACGTCCAGTTGCTAATCACTCAACAGAGGATTAACGCTGTCACTAAAAAAAAAGTTATTACAAACAAATTACAATGGAAAAAGATAAAGTTAAAGATAACACCTCTCTTGAAATCCACAAGAGATGAAGAACAGCTTTCCCCAGAGACGGCATAACACACAATCCACTAAGAACTCCACTTAGTGATTCTTATCGCTTCTAGCCCACACCAGGTTCCAAAAGCCCCCTTTCCTTGCAACAAACAGTTCTCTGGCACTCACAGCACTTAACTTTTGTATGGAAAAGGTTGTTCTTGTTTTTCCGAGTGCCAAAGAAGAGTTTAAGTAGAGAAATTAGGGTTTAGGAATTGGGAATTTCGAAACTAGGGTTCTTGGTAATTGGGTTTTCGAAAATAGGGTTAATTTGAAGTTTAAAATCAAAAATAGACTGAAATAATCGATTAAATGGAGTAATAATCGATTAAAACGAGCCAATATCAACGGAACCCAAAACCTTTCCGTTTTAATCGATTATAAGGAGTTTTAATCGATTATTTGACCTAATAATCGATTATTTTGATGTTTAATCGATTAAAGCGATGAGTTTATGCTTGAAAATGGTTTTTCTCACTTGTTTTAATCGATTATTTCCCTATATAATCGATTAAAGTCGAGCTCTGGATGATAAATTTGAGCTTTTTGAAGCTTCTAAGGTGCGGACTATGTACCGGCTATCTTAAACTCTAATATTACGGACTCAATCTAATTAAAACGAGTTATTACAATACAAAACAAGTCTTCAACATACTAAGTCTTTGAGTTCTTGAATCATCATCAAAATCAACAATCTTCATGTTCATCAAGTGCAACATCAAGTCCTTGAATGTTCAACAATCTCCCCCTTTTTGATGATGATCAAAATTATCTTTTAAAGCCCTTGTAATAACTCTGTTTTATCCGTCATACTAACAAACACATCAAACATACCGAGATAATATTTAAATGTAATTCATAAGAGGCTTTAAATATTTCTCCCCCTATTTTGATTATAATAAAAAGAACTCTGCAATAACAATCATAAGAGCTCCCCCTCAAAATATGCATAAGTTGAGAATAACTCCCCCTCAATCAAAGCAATAACAAAACATCATATTTTATTTCGAAATGTCAATACGAGTACATCACAAGAAAAGAAAATAAACAAAAAATTTAAAATTCTTCACTATCATTATCATTAAAGTGTGCATCAAATCTATTTTCTAAACGGCACACTTTATCATCTACATCGGATATACTGCGAATTAATTCCTCATGCCGTACTCTAGAAAGAGTGAAGAATGATTGCATCCTCTGATTCATGTCAGATAACATGTCTTCCATGGATTGTCGAGGTTCTTGATGAGTAGAGGAAGTTCCAACACCTTGGATTTGGTCCGAGGGAAACTCAGCAGCTGGAGGCATATCTTCATTAGAATCTTCATTAGCATCACCTTGATTAGGAACGTCATCTTTGTGAACATAAATATCATTGACTCGCACCATTTGGAGTTGAATCAATGTGTTGTCAAACATGCGGTTTAAGTT